ATGCCTAAGTTTTGCACCAGTTGTGTATGTGTGTGTGTGTATACAGAGAGAGAGAGAGAGAGAGAGAGAGAGAGAGAGAGAGACTCTAATATAATGCATAATACTATTTTATTTCAAATTATTGCACAGATGGTCACTTTTAGCCTCAGTTTAAAAAATAATAATTCAAATACCATAAAGACTTGAAATCTAAACAGTTCTCTAGGATGTTTTGAAACCAAAGCCAACTTCTGCCTTTAACGCCTAAAGGATTATTTCACAACCTTGATTTCTTTTAAAAAACAAAATCAAACGAAGAAAACCTTCTTCCTGGTCTCACATGTAAATTCACTTAGATAACTTTTTCCACATATTAATCAGGCTTAGCTTTAACCTGCTCAGGAAATTCTGGTACAGGAAGGAAGGAAAGGAGGCTAGATGTATTTTCGATGCAGTCATCCGCTTGTCAAATGTTTCTCCATTGTTATGAAACAAAAAGCACATTGCAAGCGCTCAAACGTTGAGATACACATACACACACATATTTTCCTCCTTTTGTGTATAGCTCCTACCAGCTTAGATGCACCAAAGCCAATAAAGGTGGCTTTTCTTCAGAACATTGGGAAAATAACAATACAAAGTTTACACAGATGTTATCCTTCCAATCCTTTAACCATGGCTACGGGATGCGGAAGCAACTACATCTATGCTCATGTTTTGCTCCCTCTCCCTCTCTCTTTCTCTATCTCTTGGTTCTTTCTCTTATGCGCATGAATAAAATTCTGCCCAGTCCATTCCAACCATTAACACTGCTAATCACAATTAATTTAGCAACAACATGCAATAGAATTTAAGATCTTGTTTAAGAGCACCTGGTTGGAGTTAACCGTGATTAACTCTGATGCGGATGTAAGGTACAATAACCATGATTAAGCTAAGTGGAGGAAATGAACATGAAAGAGATGGATAACTTTGGGGAGGAGAGGAGAAGGGTAGAGTATGGCAAAGAACCATATTTTCCCGCATGTACCCCATCAGATCAGAACTTTTGCACAGGCTCTTCATTAAGTGTCCTTCAGGTCAGGTGGAAAGAGGGCTAACCCTCCCCTCTAACCCCTCGTTGGTGGAGACTCAGTTATGGAAATCTTCCCAAGACAATGAATTTGTCTGGTTCCAACTGTTACCTTACAGGCCAGGGAACATCTGACCAGTTGTCTTTGGCTTTCCGTAGTATATGAGGATCTCTGACACATATCAGGGCTGACTGAAGGCAGCTGTCAGCTTGCTCAGGAGTGGAGGAATGACAGGCAATGAACCCATCCAAAGACATCTGACACTGGCTCAAGTAAAGTCCTAACCCAAACAGGATGTCATTCCTCCCCCCCCCCTTTTCCTCCCCAAGAAGCCCCAGTAGGTAATTCACAACCTGGGAAATTAATGCCCAGGTAAGTGCTTCAGACTTGAAGACCTGGTGGTCAAAATAGGGTAGCCACACAAAAGGACACGTTTCCTTTCATTCTCTTTTTTTGGTTTCAGATTGTGTGCCATCAAGTCAATTCTGACTTAAGGCAGATTAATGGTGAATTAAAAGAAAGCAATATGATGCATTAGGTGAGGTAAGGTAAGGTTTTCTAGAGCACTGGTTCTTAACCTTGGGTTACTCAGGAGTTTTGGACTGCAACTCCCAAAAGCCTTCACCACCAACTGTGCTGGCTGGGGGTTCTGGGAGTTGCAGTTCAAAAACATCCGAGTAACAAAGGTTAAGAACCACTGTTCTAGAGTAGAGAGTACTCAGAAGTTGTTTAACATTCACTTATTTGAGTCAGCATCCTGGAACTATGCAGTTTACCCAAGGCCACACAGGCTGGCTCTTCTAGGATGCACTGTGGGAAACCAAACTCCTGACCTCTGGCTCTGCAGCCAAATCCCTAACTCACTGAGCTATCTAGCCAGATATTCCCTGCTATTGTTCTGCTAAATGACCTTGATCTGCTGGTTTCACATGTTATCTTTTAATCTGCTGTGTTGCTGATTTACTTACATTATTTATATCCAGCCTTTCTCCCAACAAAGGAACTCCAGGAAGTGTTTAAAGTTATATTTCTGGCATGTTATTATGGAAAGCCACCTCAAAGCTGTTTCACAATAAAAGATGCAAACAAAAATTTATTAGGAGTACTTATATGCTGCCTTTCCAGGGTGAAGCTCTTCGAAGGCAGCTTGCAGAATATAATTAGCTTCATTTACGTAGCAGGATCCTTATGCTTCCAAATGATTTACAGTGCAACCCACATGCAGTGCTTCCTGTCCAGGCCTTCATTGACCTTTCCAACTGGCCACCTCCAGTCCATTCTGCTTTGCTGTTCTATCACAATTATTTTCAGGCCTTACGGTTTTCCCACCTTGACTCCATCCCCTGCCCTAGATGTGCAGTGTCTCAGAGCCTGCGCAACTTTGCTGCAAGGATGGAAAGATTTTTGGAATGTACAACTGACCCATTCACGCATTTATTATTATTTATCCAAAGCACTAAGCCAGCTACTCCTAGAATTTGAGTTGGATCCAGACATAAGAGTGGCGTCAATTTGCTGTTTCCTTCCCTCAGTGGCCCATAAATGCTCCATATCTCACCGCTGTTCTCCTTGCCATGGCTGAGATTGGAAAGGATATGTCTATGTAGGCACCATAACAAGGATTAATGGTGAATTAAAAGAAAGCAATATGATGCATTAGGTGAGGTAAGGTAAAAGTAAAGGTTCCCCTTGACAATTTTTGTCCAGTTGTGTTCGACTCTAGGCAGCGGTGCTCATCCCCATTTCCAAGCCATAGAGCCAGCGTTTGTCTGAAGACAATCTTCCGTGGTCACATGGCCAGTGCAACTTAGACACGGAACACTGTTACCTTCCCACCGAGGGGGTCCCTATTGATCTACTTGCATTTGCATGCTTTCGAACCGCTAGGGTGGTGGGAGCTGGGACAAAGCGATGGGCGCTCACTCCGTTGCGTGGATTCGATCTTACAACTGCTTGGTCTTCTGACCCTGCAGCACAGGCTTCTGCGATTTAGCCCACAGCGCCACCACGTCCCTTAATTAGGTGAGGTACTTTCCCTTTAATTTGCACACGTGTATACAATATACTTCTATAAACAGAAGAATGAACTGTACATGTAGGCTGTGCAACTGAAGACAAGCACATACCAATTTTTGCTGATATATTGGAAACAGAGGGTTTAGGGAAAAATATTTTTCTAGCTGCACCTCTTAGGATTCTTCAGCCATTACAGCTACAGCTGAGTGGCTATAGGATTCTGAGAACTGCAGATTTAAACAAACAAACAAAACAAAACAAAAACAAATACTTTTTGTATCTCTGGGTGACCATACACAAAGACATATTGGCTATCTTCCATGGCAGCCTTTGAAAATGTAAGTGGGTTTTCATACAGCCACTTTATGATGACAGAACGCTTTGTACTATCACAAGGAAGAAAGTCATTCTTAAATGAAGATGAGCACAATCAGCAGTGGGACTTGTACAAAGGAAGCATGCCTGGGTGCCAAAGACGGCTGAGAAAGATTTGATTTCCCCTTACGTTGTCTTGTATAACACAAACCTGGGCAACCATTTAAATTGGCCTCTTGGGGGAGTACTAACGAAGCAGCCCGAGCAATGTTTCTGACCCTCTTCAGATCACAGGCCCAATTCAAGTAAGATTTTAAAAACAACAGAGCCCCTCTGCTCTTGTAGCCACACACCCGCCTATTTTTGGAAGCTATGATAGCAAAGCACCTTGCCCATTAACAAGCGTGGCACCAGGGGTGGGTGGATAACATTCCTTGCAGTCATTCCAACCCGCAAGGCACATGATTGATGCCCATACATGGCATCTTGGCTGCCTCCCACACATTCTGCTTTATTGGGAAGGGGATACATATTTTTACAAGGAAAAGCTGCAAGTAATTCAGTGAGTGGTTCAGCAAACAAAGGCCATCTCTTCTAAAATGGCCGTAGCTTTTGGTAAACAGAAGAAGCCATTTACAGAACTCTGTTCTCTTCTGGATGGACGGGTTTCACTTAGCCTACACCCACACAACTTTTGTCTGTAGCCACTTGGAGCCCGAGACAGAAATAGACAGAAACAACTGGTGGTAACTATTTGCAGCCCCCCCGATGGCAAACAGGCAGCTGCCACCAACTCAGCTGAAACCTGGTGAAGGGTAGCAGGAGTACTGAGGGCATCCTCCTTGATAACAGAGGGTGCTTGCCTGTAATTATTGTACTAAACTTTGGTTTTCAGGGCCTCTGAATATACCTTATGACTGACAATTGGTCCATGCTGGAGAACTTGCGGAATAGGCTCACAGACAGAAGATAATAGGTGGGTTGGCCAGTCTCATATAAATGCTAGGAAACTACTCTTGTTCTGTTGCCAGATCAACCTCCTCCCTCCTAAAGGCCCTCTAATTGTTCCTGCTTTTTTGTGCTCCAGCTTTTAGTCTTTGGCTAACTCAGGGCCCTTGGCTGGAAAATACATACCTGGAGGCTGGATTCTGGCACAGATGCCTGTTGCTCCAGCTTGGCCCAGGCAGTGATCTCAGAGTATCAACAATGTGGAAGCTGACTAGATAAGAGAAATATTAATTGTGTACATTATTAAATATAGCAATTAGTCAAATTATTACGTGGCTTTAAAGAAAGCAACTCTGCTTCCTAAACATTATACGGACAAAGTCTAAAGGAAATTAATAGTACTAAGATTTTTTTTTCTGAGTGTATAAATGTTTTTATAAAAATCAAAAGCTGGCTTTCAAATGATACCTCAGCCTCACAGGAAGCTAGTGGAGGTCTTTGTTCTTGCAATAAGATTTAATTTAACTTACTTGCTCTTTTAGAATTATTATGCTAAATGTATGAAATATTAAGCATGACTGACAAATGTGAGGTCAGGCAAACTTTGCCATTCTTTCTAGTTCAGCTAATGGCAACAGGCCTAACATGTGGATAAATAACAGACACACATTTCCAAGTTAAAATGATGGATTTATTTCCCCAGTCATTTCTAGAGTTACAAATCAATAAAGAGAAGGAACATCATGGAACTCCAATTTAGCAATGTGCAATGAAGACCAACTGAATTAAAGTGAAGACTGTTATGCTGATGATGTCTTTTAGCAATTAGCCCATCAATAGAATTGTATCTTTGGAACTAAGCAATCTTGAGCAGTTTTTTTAAAAAAATATCTTTGTGGAAATCCTGACTTCAGCATTCTCCTAGGATATGAATTTTCCCAGTCAAACGTACACAGTGAAGATTAACTCAGCTGGAAGAGAATTAAGAGCTGCCAAATGAAAATTTAATTTCTTGGTCTCAGAGATTTTAGTTGTATCTATCTTAGTTGTGTTTTGTTGTATTATTAATACACCAGTTGATTGGAAAGAGACACATGATTTAATTGAATTCTTTCTGCATTCCAGGCTTTTAATCAAACAATGATTTTAATTAAAATGTGTAAGGTAATGAAGGAGGTAACCTAAGGAGAATAGCACAAGTGCTTGAGAGATGGTGCTATCATGCAGACCTCGATTTTGTCTCTAATAAATATCTGGACTGAATGGAGAAGACAGAAAGCATGTTCTTTTGTATATTTTGATTTTCTGCATTGAGGCAAGAATCAGAAAATATTGCAGTCCTCCACTGCTTTTGCCTTCTGTTGCTCTCTCTCTCTCTCTCTCTCTCCAATTTGTACCTTGGCTTATGCCACTACATTAAATTCCATTATTGTTACCATGTTAGCATAGCACATATTGGATCACTTAAGTATCTGGCTTTTTAAATGAGGTTGTCTTATAGGGAATGCAGTATGTAAGCAGATTGCAGGATTACTAATATCTTCCATGCTTTTTCCAAAACTTCTGGCAACTCAAGCTCGTGATAGGTTGTCAAAACTCAGACAAATGCTACAATTTAAAGAACAATAAACTGTTTGGGGAGTCCAGTAAGAGAAGCTGGGCAATAGTTCAATTAGAACCTACAATATTTGAATAATTAGTATAGTTGTCATTTCAGCTCATAAAATGTCTATTTTCTGCATGTGTGTTTGCGGAACTCCATTCGCTTACGACAGGAACTGTCTATCAGGCAAAGCTACTGAACATAAGATTTATTCAGATGGAAAACAAATCACGTGAGGAGAGTACGAAGGTCAGAGAGGCACCTGAAAGGCAGCTACTTTTCCACAATGCAAGCCATAATACATTTATTAGTTCATATGTGCATTACGTAGCTATTAAAATAAAATAGAGTTTAAAAGAAAATAAATGCAAGCCAAGATAAACTGCCTCAAGATCTTTAACTGATAGAGGCTATGTGCAGATGATGATTCCAGTCATTACTGGAATGGAGAAGACACAATCAATGAAAGAGTTTAGCTGCTCTTGATTTAAATTCTTGAGGAAAGGGTTTTTGACATTAACAGATGAAATATTTAAAATAAATTACATAGCAAATATCTTTTTAAAAATCCTAAAAGAAGATGTAGAAATCCAGCTGCCATTGCTTTTAACAGTGATTGCTCAATTATATTTTGATTTTACTTTTTACCATCTTTGCAGTTTTGAGAGAAAACCGTTTTAGAAACAGGAAGATAAAGATTAAAAATAATGAATTACAGAGATTCAGAAAGAGAGTCCTTTAAAAAACTGCTTAAAGGATCGAAGTCCTATCCTTCCTGTAAGATGAGGCAAATCCAGGGTTCTAGAAAGGCTTGACAGGAGGCAACATATTTATGATAGCAGTTGCAGAACTTGGCGGATACGTTCACATTTCTCCAGAAAACTAGAATCTTCTCTTTCAGAACTGTCGTAGTCCTTCATAAGAGCTTCTGCTTTCTGTACAGTTACATCTCGTGCACGACCTTGGAGTCCTTCAAGGTACCGCAGCAAAATCGAAAAATATTTATCAGGAACCTTTAAGATGGAAAGGAAGAGAATGTGAAGGGTCTCAACCAGTGAAGCATCAGTCGTTTGGTGAGTTTGGGATGAGTCACCAGCAATATCACCAGACAGATACTTAAGCAAAACTCACTCCCATTGAACAAGAATTTCCTTCCCCTTGAACAAGAATTTCATTCCTTCCTTCCTTCCTTCCTTCCTTCCTTCCTTCCTTCCTCCCTCCCCCCCTCCCTCCCTACCTACCTACCTACCTACATTCATTTCCTCCTTTCATTCTATCTTTCATGCGTGCTTGTTTGCTTGCTTGTCCCTCCCTCCCTCCCTCCGTTCCTGCCTTCCTGCCTTCCTTCCTTCCTTCCTTCCTTGTCTTAGTGGTGCTTGTCTGTGCTATAAAGTTAATCTAGGATTTCAGCTATCATGGTCTCTGTGGGCACCCAACAGTACCACATGAAACATTTTTTTCAGCACATTACATTCAGTCTATATAATGTATGAAGATGGCCTGTCATCAGAAACAGTATAAAAAAGTATTATGGCTAGGCATTTTGGCCTCAGTCTTCTACATTCTATATAGCAAATGAACATGGAAGGCAAAACATCTGAGCACAGTATTAGAACATTTTGTTCTGTTAGTCATTGGACTCAAGATGATATGGACCAAAAGGTTCGAATTCTTGGGACTGTTCTTATGTCTTAGCTTAAGGTACCTTACACCACACTATTAAGAGAAAACAGAGTAATATATTTGAGCTCCTTGGAGGAAGGGAAGTGTGGGAATAAATGTAACACGCACATAACGGAAGTTTAATAAAATATATCATCCAACTCACTGGACTCAAATTTTGCAAAGGAAAAAAACATTTCCTATGAATCCTGAAGGCTATGACACTACAAAGTTCACTTTAGGCCTTGTCCTCCTCTTACTGTTCAGAGATCTTGACAACCAAAACAAAACCACAGCACAAATCCCAGGCTTTTGCATTTCCAACTGTACTCATGCTGTGCTTTCCTTCTAAGTTGGTGCAGCTGAGCTATGAGATCATTTCTTCACATGTAGCACTTCCCACTTAACCAGCTATAAATCAGCCAAGTTATTAATGACCACCTCTGGCAAGCATAGGTGCCCTCAAAGTTTCTACAGACACAAAGCCAATTAACAAAATTTAAGGCTCTTTAGCTAGAAGAATGACTGGACAAATTCACCTTATTCTGGTCCAGTTACATAACACATGATGAGACAAAGAAATCCTAGAGCTAAAAGGGAAGTGAAAGAAGGATGTACCTCTTTGGCTAATGTCCCAAAGGAGGAAAGGTAACAGCAGGAATTACCTTATCTTTATCATACATGTGTAAAAGGAGCCATGTTTGCCTTGTCTTTTGGAATTTCCATTCTTTGGGGTTTTCAGACCAGCTGCAGGAACACAAATAAATACATAAGCAAAGTCAAACACATTCAACAATACAATACAAAGAGAAAAGGAACCTCTATTTCTAGCATACCTCTAAAGAAGAATCACAAATCTGCTGACCCACAAGCCTAGTTCAGATAATAGTGGCACCAAGGGAAAATAAAGAATAATCACATAACACAGCGAGAACATGTTGGGGAAAGTGTCTTTTTAAAACTAAGTGCAAGAGTCCAGAGCTCCAGGCCCTCTGTTAGCCTTCCCCAATAAACTGAATCCCACTTCTCATCATTACCAGCCAGAAACCACAAAAAATCAAATATGAAATGATGTTTGAAATAGGTGACCAGAGTGGGGATGGGAGCAGCTGAATTCTTGTTCTCCCCCTTTCTCGTGACCAAACATGGCATTTGAAATTGTACCCATGTTATAGAATTGATGCCATATTTTTGGCAGAAAGCAAAGCTGGCAAGGCTGTACACCCTGTGGTTTAAATTTAAATTTAATTATGATCCTCCTCTAGTTCAAGCATAAAAGAGTACTAGAAAATTGTAAAGAGAAAGAAAGGTTAGATTTTTGTTGACATAGAAGGCACAATACACAAATGGTGAATGGTAAACTTCTACTTCAACTTTCAGGAATTACAATTTTTCGGAATACAGCAGTATCAGTAAATAGTTCCACTCATGTTACCTTGAAGGAGATATCCAGAAAGAGCTAGTCAGTGAAATATAGCAGAGAAATGTGGGTCTACACCAGTCCATGGCATGAATGGGGCAAGGCATTTCATCCTACCCCCATGAGATACCTACACCCCCACCCTCAGATAATAGGTTGCTGGTTTATCTAACCTTCTCAGTGCCATCATGACCATCATCTCTCTGCTCCAGTTTGTCAGCTGCCCAGCTTAAAAGCTTGCCCCAAAGTACCTACATCAAACCCCAGCTTGCCCAAATTCCAAGGCATCACAGAACACAAACTTTAAAAAGTCTCTATAGTATGGGAGATTAAGAACACCTACATAAACTGAACATCATATTGAAATAAGAGGTTACACAGGAAACATACAGGATATACAGAACTGGTTTGGACGAGGGACATATGAGCTATATGCCCTACTTCCATGAACAAGTCATAGGAGAGTTCAGCATTATCTACATGGTTTCCTAGTACAAGGCAGACATCTGGGTTGCTGGCAAAACTCAATCCCCAGCAACAAATGGGTTGTATGGAATTAAAGCCATGTCAGCTCAGGGTTAGCATATTTATCAGACTTCTGACTACTTAGACCTGGGCCGAATCTGACACAATACAGATCTGCAAATTGCTATGTCCAGATGTCCAAATTATTTCACAGCTAATTCTAGTCAGTCTGAGGGCTGAGGTCAGTTCTTCTTAGGCAACACTGAAATGTGTAAGAGAAAAAAACAACTTATTCCATTTCCCTCCCACGATGAACGTCATGGGGGGTGGCAGTGAAGGGAAAAGAGGGCCCCAAGTGCTGGCGTGAGTATCACTCAAGCATGCGGGATCATTTACAAACAGAGCGGCTAATCCCTTTCAATTTTTTTTTACATTTTTTTAATGATCATCAAGCGATGGATATGTTACCAGCCTCAGGGGAAGGAAAAGAAAAAGCATAATGCCTGCTCATTTTCTCTTCCCCCGCAATACCACAATGCCACTAACTGTCTGATACTTGCATTAAAAATGTTCTTGGTGGGGAGGAGATCTGAGCTTGGCTAAGGCTGACAGCTTATTTTGGATGTTTCTAGTGGATTAGGAGGTTTTCTGGCTGGTTTCATTTTTTATTTATTTTTAATGCAGAGAAGACACACACATACACACTTTTTTCCTCTCTCTCCTGGCCTCATTTAAGTTTGAAGGGGAAGGAACATCATGGAAGAAAATGAGAAAAATCACTCATTAAAACAACCAGGAGCCAAATAATTTGTTATTACTCTCAGAATCCCAAAGCCAATCCTTGCTGGGATATTCTGGGTATCATATAAAAAATGTAAATAAAAAAATAGTGTAAAAAAAGTGAATGCTTTTGATTTCTAAATATAAGCTCCCTTGCCTTATCCTATTTCTCCTTTATTCCACTTTCAAAGGGAATTTGCAGAGCACTTCAGTTTCACTTTTTAAGATCACAAAGACATCTTATTTGGCAAACAAGTAGGTTTGTGCTTTCTTTAGAAAAAAGACATGAAGAATATCTGATAGCTTGATGTGTCTTAGCAGTATTTAGAGTCTAACACGCAGTAAGGGAATGAAGATGATACAAAATGGAGCACAGGATGCTCCACACCTCATGGTGTTTGTACATGGAAAGCCCTCCAGGTTAGAATTTAGGTACCAACCACATAAATGAATAAATATAGCTCATCCTGTGTCATACTTAAACATACAATGCAGGAATTATGAGGGATGTGAAGCAGTCCCTCTTCCACCTAAATAGAGATTCATCTATCAGAAGACTGCTACCATGAGAGCTGGCGGAGCACAGTGGCTAAAGGAAGGAACTATGAATCAGGGAATCCTCAGCTGGAACCTCCTCTAATGAATGCCCCAGCCTCACAGGAGGCCTTAAGACATACTCTTCTCCTTGGCTTCTTAGCCTCAAACTATAATAATGAGATCACACTAACCAGCTGTGACAGGGTCATTATAGGAATTAAGATAATAGATGTACAAGTGCTTTGTGTGCTCAATGAGTGTCATACAAATGCTAGGTGTTACTAAAGGGTGATAAGATTGTATGAAGAGAACTAACATTCCAATAGTAGTGATGCCCTAAAACGCCACAGGAGAAATTTGGTTGTATTCAATTGTTAGACTTCAAAGACCTTGCTAATGCCATTAGGAACTACGTGTGACCTCCAGAACCCTTAGCCGAATCCTCCAGAATGCACATCGGCATCATTGCATTCATTCAGGAGCTCTTCTCCATAACAGACAATGGTGTAAGCATTGCCCTCAGTCTAGAATGTTTGAAGAACAGCTGATAAGCAGTCAAGATGACCAACATGTTTTGTCACTGATGCACGTGGCACTTTATAGAGTAACACCAACACCACCCTCATCACAGTCATAGTAAATGGTGATAACAAACAAAACCAAATCCAGGGACTTTACAGTACAATCTTTAGCAATGAAGAAGAAAGGGAAATGAAGGGACAAAATTAATAAGGGACCAACTTGCATTCTGTTTTCTGTTAGGATGATAATGACTGACAAACCGTAAACTTAACAGAAATTTGGGTTTTGAGAGTGGTAATTTAGCTTTGCACAGATATTCCATGCCAGAGTTCCAGACATCAGGGACAATGAGTCAAAGTGTATCCTGGCCTTCATGGTTTTTTAAAAAGAGATTCCTTACTGTACCTCTAAATAATCACTGAATTTATTTATTATACTTCACCTCTCTACCAGAATTGGGACCCAGGACAGTTTACAAAATAGCTAAAAAAAAAACAGTATACATAAAATTGATATACAATAACATTACCAACATCAAAAGAAATACAATTCCTTTTGTTTTTAAAATACAATTAAAATTAAAACACTTTAATAACTTTATTATTAACTTTATTAAAATAGTCTGCATCAGAAAAGAACACCAGCACACCAGAGCAACAAAGAAAGAGGAGCTATGGACCAACTAGGATACTGAACCTCAACAATGACATTGTTTTGGTGTCGCCAGGACGCAGAAGACCAGTTTATAGTCTGGTATATTTTACAAGGAATTTATATTATTTAGTTATCATGCTTGATCTATTTTAAGAGATTTTGCGAGGGGGCAGCTCTGCAGCTGGAACTCCTCAGGAGGCATATCACCTCACTCAACACTTAATCAGCTGCACTGTCTAATATGTATGAACAGATGTTTCTAATATAATTTTAGGTTGTGTCTCCTCCATCTTAATGGAGAAAATGAAAACTGGGACTTACAATGGCAAAAAGAAATGGCATTTCAGTTTCTGTATACTCATGAGTGGAATGTGAGTTTTTCAAGATTTTAAGATCAGATGTGATCAGATGAAGTTCCCAACTAACTGTAACTACCAACTCTCTATTTAAGTTAATAAGCTTTATTTATTTTCCCAAAGTATCAAACATTTTTATTTGTACCATGGACCTAACTCTACAAGTGCTATGAAACTCACACTTTAGTATGTTTGAGGCTTTTGACTTTTAACTTGTTCCATATGTTGGGGGCTCAAGGAGTATTATAACAACATTTACTTGATGGTGTGTGGTATGCATTTTTAAAGAGCAGGCATGGTGATAAATATTTACTGTGTTGAATTCATTTGGTGGAAGACTACGCAAATTTTACAAATTTGCAAATATTATCTTAGCAAGGCTTAGCCAAGTACTGTACAACTCAAAAGATTAGGCATCCCTGAACCATAGAAATTTATAACATAATTATTGGTAGCGGAGTTAGTCTGTTGCAGCAGAAAGGAGAAAGATTAATATGTTTGATTTTAGCATAAGCTTTCGGGCACTTGGCCCACTTTGTTAGATGTATGACATATAGTCTTGCTGGCAAGTATTTAAAGACAAGTGGGAGAGGGGGCAGAGGAAAGGAAATGCAGATTTTTTCCAACATGAGGATGACTTCAGCAGTCATCAGCATCACTATGCTGGGATGTTCTACAATCCCATTCCAGTGTCCTACAATTTATAAAGTGGGCTGTGGTTCTTGCAAGCTTATACTGAGCGAAACATGCTATATCTCAGGTCCCCCAAGGTCTGTATTACTTAAGGCAAGTATCATGCATATCCTCCATTTCCCCCTTCCATTATCAAGCAAAAATGAGTCAGTCAAGGACACTAAGATAAATTCAATGGGGAAGATGTTACCACGTAGGGCTGAAAGTAATTTGAAAAGGTAGTCTGAAAGTTGTTCAAGAATTAAACCACATACAAAAAATGGTAAACTAAAAATGGAAATCTTTACTCCTGTCAACCCTTGTTCCTCTTCTGTGCAGAT